GCACTGATAGACAGCCCCGATATTATCGCAAAAGAAGGACGATACGCTGCAGTGCCTATGATCATCGGCAACCAAGAAGACGAGGGTACACTGTTCGCACTGTTCCAGCCTCTGGTGATGACAGCGTCGCAACTCGTCAACTACCTCTCAGAGCTCTACTTTCACAACGCTTCGATAGCCCAGTTGACCACCCTCGTCAATACATATGACCACCACATCTCTGCAGAGAGTCCCTTTCGTACAGGGATCTTCAACGAGATCGTTCCTGGCTTCAAGCGTAGGGCTGCCATTCTTGGGGATCTCGTCTTCACGCTAGCACGCCGCTCGTTTCTATCTGTTGCTCAAGCAAAGCACCCAGAAGTCCCAGCTTGGTCGTATTTGAGCAGCTACAACCACGGAACTCCCGTACTTGGTACGTTTCACGCTTCCGACATACTGCAAGTCTTTCTAGGAATCTTTCCTACCTTTGCACGACAAAGCACCCGGACTTACTATCTCAACTTCCTTTACAACTTGGATCCTAACGTCGGATTGGGCGGTTACGCGCAATGGCCGGAATGGAGTCAGAATCAGCAACTACTCTGGTTTCTGAGCGGTCGAACAGACTACCTCAAAGATGACTTTCGAAACGAAAGTTACAGGTTCATATATAGCAGCATGCAGTCCCTCAATTTCAGGGATGATTCGGATTTGCTGCCGCGGTGGTCGCTTTGATACGTTATTTATCCACGAGCAGCACGCATGTTGTCAGGCACAATAGGGGTGTTCGGCCTGTTTATTCATCTTTGACAGCATTCTTCTATCCAAAGCGAGAGGGGTATTGCCAACGCTAAACTATGTACGTAAATGAAGATATGTGTCTGGACAATAACTGTTGACTGGGTCTGGCTCTGGCGACCCCAACATGATTTGCTACGAAGCTGTGTTAATCGTTGAGTTGGAAAGTTGAGTGGGCAGCATACCTTTGAGAAGACATCGGCCTGACGGATACCCATCTCCTCCGCAATCTTTGCAAGACGGGCCTTGACGTATATTCGTTGCTTTCTGGTCGCAAATCGGCTCGATCCAGTAGCTAGCAAGGGCCACATACAAGACACACCAGCTAGGCCTTTTGGCATCTCGGATGTCCCACATGGGAAGTAGGGGGTACTCATAGCATCACCTGTCCACCCGAAAAAGTACGGAGTGCTGGAGATAATGTCGGCCACTTGCTCAGTTCCGATCCGATTCGCGTCAATATACTCTTTCGTAAGAGTATGGTCACTCGGTGCGCAGACCCATGCAATGCAACGCACAATGACCTGGTTGAGCAGAAGTCGAGATACGTGGGTGTTGATATGCTTTCCGGCAGCCCATACGTTCGGGTAATCGTAAATAGTTCCGGGAAACGCCGAAACGTAGCCGATCTTGTCCTCCGAAACTTCCGCAGCCGATCCTGAAATAACCTTCCTCCACGCTGGTGGGCACTTGTCGAACCATACACCGAGATCATCGTCCATTTTTCGTGCCCTCTGCAAAAGCTTCAAAGCTTTGTCGATTTTGTCGGTGGTTCGTGCCCCCTTCAGAAGGCTGTCGGCCTCGCCACGGATGAGTGTCGTCTGGAGGTTCAATACCAAAGCTTGGTGGCCAACAGTGTCGCAGACGGCCTGCCGTGCCCACCAAGTCAAATCCTCCAAGGAAATATTTGCAAAGAAGGTGTACTGCCGGACCTGTCTTACGCGTTAGACCACCGGTTTTTGATACAGCCTTTCAAGTGCTTGTCAAAGTAAGACGTACCGATGTTGCCCGAACAAATTCAAACATGCTCAAGCCAACGCCAGACGCAGTCTGTTGCGGTCCACGTAGCTTGACTATTGCAGTCGCCCCAGAGATATGCTTCTTGAAGCCAGACATTTCAACGTCGTCTGAGACCAGTCCTTCGTAAAAAGCCAAGAGAATTGCAGAGGCAAGTGTGGTGTCCTGCCTCACAGCTATCTTGTCTTGCATAGCTCGAGTCAAGTCCTCTAATGCCTTGCTATAGTGTAGGTGAGCCATCGAAGACAACCGTCGTGAGTTTGGCCTACCAGCCAGAGCGGCCATTGATACAGCTGAAAAAGCGGACTGCAATGGAGACGCTTGATAGCTGGGCATATTCAGTAGGGGTAGTACAAATGTGAGAATCCCTCTGCCTACTCCCGTTGGTGGAGCAAGCACGTAGTTTGCCAAAAAGTAACATGTCGCTTGTTGGTCGAGAGGCGTCTGCAATGTGTGCGGCATGCCATAAGTCCCGCCTTCAATGTCTTTGAATGAGACAAAGGTATCGGGCGCCTGATTGCTGATGTACGACAAAGAAGAGGCGTATGACATTGAAGGCGACGCTTCAGAAGAAGATGAATTTGAATATCTATCAAACCAGTCGTCTTCCGTGATTGGAATGATTTGTTGTTTTCGTGGAGGTGGTGCTGCTGGCGGTGTCCATTCCATCACTTGTGGTTGGGTTTGGCATTCGTTTTCCGCATCCTGTTCCGTCGCGCGACCCTCTCGAATAGCCTTGCGCAACGCAGCGGACTTGGCCTTGCGGATGGTTGATTGAGTCTCATCGCGAAGGTTGATCTCGAATGCGTCCCGGTATCCTGGGCAAGTTCTTTTCGACTTGGCGCATTTGAGGCAGAAGGGCTTCGTTTCGTCACACTTAATCCTCCTCGCGCGGCAGAGCTTGCATGCCCTGCTTGGGTGACCCGTATTGACCATCTTTGAAATAAAGAAAAGCTGATGGTACGGTAGTACTGATTTTCTTTCCTCGAATAGGCAGTGTATGCTATGCGCGAGATCCACGGCCAGTTGACGGTTCAAGTTTCGACGGGGTTTGTGTCATGTGGGCGAAACCCCCTATCAAAGTAGGAAATTCGAGGAGGAATGAGAGGGGCGGACGTGCTTCCCTAAGACATAAAAGGAAAATGGGCATACAGATCCGGGCTCGTGTCAGACGCGGCCGAGGGCGGCTGTTGATGAACCTCGAGAACAGACTGTTAGCCGTTGATCCAAGATGGAGGAAGCCGCACAAGGGAGTTGATATGTTTCAACTCTAAAACTCGCCCCGCTTGCTTTGGTGACATTCAGCAGCGCCGCCAGTTAAAAGGCATCTAGCTCAGAAGATGACGTTACGAGTCAGGATTGGAGAGGATGGACGATAGTATGATTGGAGACGGAGAACGATGCTTCTTCAATCGATGTCAGCCGCTTTTGGGGGGAAGGGTGGCCTATTGCACAAGTCTGTTCGGCCAACCGTCAAACCCGACAGCTGAACCTTGGATAGAACCTGTCAGCACATGTCGGCATGCCTCCCCGTCGGCGGCTTGAGCGAGTGCGAATTGTTGTTGTAAAGATGCGCAGCAGTAACATCAGACGAAACGGTTAGCCCAAGCGTCGCTACAACTGAGGGAGTGAAACCGGAACTCCATGCGAAGACGACTGGAGTTTCTGAAACCTAGTCACCTATCATTCGACGCATGAAAGTACCCAAACAGGTCTGGCGCCTTTCTTGTCCTCGTCTTCTAGAAGCCTGCCGGTTTAGACAAAGTCCATATCGGTAGCTCAGAGCACCTGCTCTCGGCTGAGAAGTCTTCAAATAAAGATCGTTGGGAGGGTTTGGCCAGAAATCATTGAAATACAAGATCCTGTTCCAATTGCGTCTCTTATTGTTCCCTCCTTGTCGGGCCTACCAGTCGCCGTCATCTTACGAATCCGTGTAATTTGTATAGGACTTGACTGGAAAAATGACACCATAAAAATACTGGGCTTAGTCTGAAGTGTTGAGGGTTAGAGCTGGAGTTAGAGCTCTATCTAATCCCAAAACGGGAAAACTCGCCCATCTGACGAAGATAATCACCCCGAAGAAGACCGTCGGATGATTTGGAGACAGAAGCTCTGTGGACTCCCCATGCTACCCCGAATACGGCTCACATGTCATGGCGTTTTCTCGGCATTCTCGTACAAGACCCGACAGATGCAAGAGCGCTCCCTTCGCTCCTAGGAACACCTTCCTAGTCACTGCAATTTTGCAGGCTGGAGCCGTCGTCCGATGAACCAAACTGACGCGTTCACCCGCGTGTCTGGTTTCTTTCCTCAACTGACGTGACGTGACAGCCTGCACAGGATCCTCGGTCTCGGTGCCTCTCTCTGTGATTGCCGAACTGAGTCTATGATGAGAATCCGAGCTGGTGGAACACCTCTCAGGGTGGTGTTCTGCCAGGCCACCAGATTCTCATCCCAACGCACTTCCATCAATTGCCGGAACTTCTCTCTCTCTATATCTCTCTCTCTACGAGGATAATAGCAGACGGGCTCTTCTGAGCGGATCGATCGTGAGCGAAAGAGATGATTGATGCTGTGATTGGCGAGAATGCACATATTACTAAAGTCTCTTTTGATCGAATCACCAAATCTCCTAGCAGGCGATGCGCGATGCATTGGGCTTGCGTACTTATCTTCATCATCTGGCTACAACGATCGCTATTGCATTGTAGCCCCGTTTTCCTCAGAGACGCGGCACCATTGCCATAAGATACATTCAGGTGGCCGTGTACTGACTGTACCAGTCAAGCTGGGAACTTTCCGAGGCTACATGCCAAAATCTAGAGTCCTGCTACACATTTGAAAGCAGATATTTCTCTGCATGGATCAAGCGGCAATTCTCTACGCGCATTTAGCTATTTGCTGGCTGACTGGAGAAATGGCGGGGACGAGACAATAGAATGAGCTTCGTCAACTCAGACACCGGCATAGGAATCGTGCTGACTCGAAGGCTCATGCCAGAGTAAATGACTTATTATTGCCGTAAAAATGGCGGAACGTAGTACAACATACTGGTCGGCTGGCCCGTCGGAATCTCTTACTGATCCTCAACTTCGTCCGTAGTGGGATCTTCTGTCTGTCCAATTTGGCAAAGCCCGCTCACTCGAGTATCAGATGCCTGTTCTCGAAACTCGAGTCGCAGAGAGTAGAGGACAGAGTGAGCCGCCTCAGCCGTAGCTGCTGTGGGCGGAATTCGGATCAGAGGAACGGACCTGCGATCGGCCGACAGCCAACGCAACTGGCAGACGTCCAGCACTGACATCGTGTATAGTTTTTCCCAGGAAGAACCAGGTGAAATCTTGATATAGCCGCGGAAGCTCTTTCGTCGAGAGGCCCGGTATGTGGGGTGGGGGACTGGGATATGCCTTGTATTGTCGCAGCGCCGGATAGGGTCTTCTTTTTCTTGAGTTTTGCAGGTAGTTTCCCACCAGTAGCACAGGCATATAAGCTTCAGATTTCAACTCACGTCGCTGAGTCCGGTGTGCACAGTCTTCAACGCTGGGGTCCTTGCCTGCGGGCACGCTGGGGACATGAGAGCAAGACGTTCGACGTTCAAGTACGTAAAGTGTGCATTGGTCTGTATCCGTACCAAGTCCGAATCCCAGCCCCGTTATCCGCGGTCCTGGAAACATTTTAAAGTATCGCAGTACGAAACTAACAGGGGCTGCCGTGCGGCATATGTCAGGGTCAGGGGGGCTTAATGGTAGATCATATAGCTGAGTAGCCTCCGCCTAGTACATGTGTATCCATACGATCAAGCGTTTTCCTTACCGGCAGTTTGTGCAAAAGCCACATCGCGATCTGCAGCCGGCACGATTTAAGCTTGATGCTGGCTCAAGGTAGATCGACGCAGGCATAGTGTGGCGATCCTATTGTCAGCGAGCAGGGCCACTGATTCCCGCCCTGGTAGAAAGGTGCTAGGTAACCGAGACCGATGGCGTCTACTTTTTCAACTCCCCAGCTGTGAGACCGACTATGTGGCCGAGCTACATTTCAGACATCTCCGGAGCCTCCATGGATCTGGATAACCACCCTCCCACACTAAAACATTACGGGGGAGCGGGAAGATCATCGAGGCCGATGCGCCTGTCAACCATCGCGGCAGTAGCAGACGCTGTCAAGCAGAAAAGCTTCTCTCGCAAGCTCAGACATCTTGACACGGCACACCTACAGGATAAACGAATGTCTGGATAAACTCTTCTCACATCCACACACTGATCAGTGCTTCAAGTCTCTGGCTCTGTTTAGTGTGTGTGCCAAGCTCGCCTCGACCTGACACATGGAAACTGCTCGCTAGAAGATCGGCCCGTGGAGTAGGAAGAAATAGCGTTCAAGAGACATGAAAAATGTGCCCGGAAGTCATGGATTGATAGTATCGAACTTACTGCAAAAGCGTGCATGGAGGAGTTCCGGGCAATAATTCACCCCTTGCAGTCAGTCCGAAAGCTCGGGAAGGGAAATCAGCCGTAGCATCAGGTCGGACTCGCATTGCTCGCATCTTCCAACGGCGAAGAGTAGGAAGATGACGGAATGATTAACAGCAAAGACATTCTTGACAGCCGGTTGCCTTATTGGGCTGACAGACCCGTTAGGATGGGTCGCAGTTACTTATATAACTTGGGGTGCGAACAGACAGCCCAGGTGGGCTGGACCCGTACAAGAGACAGGCAGCGACAGGCAAGACATTCATAAAAGACGGGATGAAAAGGTCATCTTCTCTGCTGAGTTGCTTAGTCGGGGGCAACTTTTTGCGGTGAGAGCACCGCCTTCTCGTCCCAAAAGGGAAATAGTTCGCTGTTCCCCAACGGCGTCTGAAACGAATTGCCTCATTCCACTTGCCCTCTGAGGCAAGTGGATGGAAAGTCTACAAACACACCTCACCCATATTCCAATACCGGCCCGCTGCTGAATACTGGTTCAACGTCGCAGCGAGCTACTTGTGAGTGCTCGGGAGAGGAGTCTGTACAAGGGAAGAGGAGGAGAAAGAGGTGAGAAGGATGGAGCGTGAAGACAGTATGGTTGGGATGAGATGCGGCAACATTCATTCTATTAAGGGTCTCATTAGCACCAAATATCCTTTCTATCACTTTCTTCCCCTTTTTCGAGAAAGAGAACGAGAAAAAGTGCCAAATCGTTGAACGAAGAGACACTACACTTAACCGAGATACGCTGGCAATTTGTTTTTTGCTGCTGAAGAGTCGAATACCCCGTGGCCAAATCATAAGGAATACACCCATCCAATAAAGATTTCCTTCATAGCCAGAACGTCTCAGAGAATCGAAAGACCGGACTTTCTTCTATTAACGACCCCGATCTACGTACGCTTCGCCTTTGGCCGTCATCAGCCTTACTGCCCTAATGCCCTATCTGGGCATGCCCATCGCGGCACTCTTCAAGTCCGGAATTCCGCAACACGTCGTCAGCCGGTCATAACGCAGACTCTCCACTGCCTTGGTCAGTTTACTACTACTAGGAGGCCCGCTTGCCTATTCCATACATGCAGCTCGTCACTACATGAGCCGCAATGCAACGTTGGAGCCTGTCATCCTCAACCATTGACTCAAGTCCGGATACGGCTTCTTACACATAGGGATTCACCTGAGACTCTCTACCCGCATTGGGCTGTTCCTGTCTAGTCTGTCTTCTGCTTGCAACATCTCTCAAAGCTGGTTATACCCACAAGCCGACATCCTGTCCGTACCCCTGATCCGGCAGGCCGCAGGGTCTCGAAGACGAAAAAAGGCAGCGTGCCTCACTTCTAAAAGCAGTCATGGCCGGTCTTGCTGGATTCCTGTCTGCCGCCGCTCCTCTCATATCTCTCAAATTCGTTGCTGCAGAGGGAGTTGTCAAGGCGACACAGGCTTCTACATCACCAGCACTCCAATTAGCACAAGTGGCGGCATCCGTACCAAAGCCAGCAGCAAATCTGTTGTCATCAACGCCCGTTTCAAATACACAGAGACCTGCCGCGCCGGCCGTAGCACTAGCAACTTTGGCTTCTCAAATCCCCTCCATAGCGAACGCGGGTATACCGTCGGTTGCCGGCCAGCTTCAACCTCCACAAGTCATTGTTGAGACGAATTATATCGTATACACTCAAGTCAGGACTGCTGCCCCGTCATATATCACTGTTACGCAAACGATACGACCGTCTCCTCCTCCTCCTCCTCCTCCTCCTCCTCCATCACCACCTCCTCCAAAGCAGATACAGCCGCTATCTCCGCCGAAGCAGATTCACCCTTCACCGATACCAAAGCAAGCGCAACCTCCTTCACCACCCAAGCAAATTCAACCCCCTTCATCGCCCAACCAGGTCCAACCTCCTTCGCCACCAAAGCAAGCAGAACCACCGAGACTCCCATCTCTACCTCCTCCTGCGGCCAAGAGTCAAGCACCTAATGCAGTGCCACTTGTGATTCCCGCCCCATTAGTTGTACCAGCACCGTTGATACTGCCTTCAACCCCGACTCCAAAGACGACGCCACAGTTGGCTGCTACTTCACCTTCTCCGCCGCCGCCGCCGCCGCCTCTAGCAGCAGCACCTCTAGCAACGACACTCCTCAGCACTCCGAATCTACCACCACCACCGCCAGTTCTCAACCCGATCATGAGTGCTCAGGGGCCAGAGAGGGGTGGAATGCCCAATCTGAGCCCGAACCCGCAGGCTCAGACTGGTCCTCCCGGCGGGCCTCCTATGGGACCTCCTGATCCGGCCAACGGAGCGTTCCCGGGTGGTATACCCAACAAGAATATCGACTTGCCGGTCACCATTATGTTCATGGTGTTGTTCATGCTTGGTGCGTACGTGCACTTGAGTATTTACCGAAGGAATGCCAAACGTGGTCACAAGTTTCTGATTTCAGATATCGTCTTCGACTTCTGTATGATCCGAACAGTTACTTGCATCTTTCGTATCACATGGTCGATTGTGTCGACCCGAGGGGTTGTGTTGCTCGCGTTGATCACCGAGAACGGAGGGTAAGCTAAGAGGGCCGAGCTTCAAAAGGAATGAACGTTTTGCTAACATGATGCTCAGTGCTGCTCTTATGTTTGCCGTTAACATATTCTTCGCCCAACGCCTGGTCCGCTCGATCCACCCGAAAGCCGGATGGTGTACCGCGTTTAGTCAGTTCAGTTTGATTCTGCTCTTCTCGGTTCCGGCTTTTATCATTCTGAACATGACATCGACAATCATTGCGTTTTTCAGTGTTGGCAATGTAGATCGCCTGGAAACTACAGACGATTTGCTCAAATTCGGAAGTTCATGGAACACGTTCCTCTCCATATTCCCTGTCCTTGTAGTAAGCGGATGCCTCTCTGTGCCAGGGCCTAAGCCAGAGAAGTTCGGTTCTGGCTCACAAAGAGTCAAAGTGGCCCTGCTTTACCTGGGCTCTTTCCTTTTGATTACCGGACAGTCCATTCGTCTGTTCGCCGTCTTCAATAAGGAATTACCAGGAGCCACGCCGAGCGTGATTTACGGCAAAGCAGTATTCTACACGACGGGGTTCTTCTTTGAGCTCATAGTTGTCGCACTCTACGCCATCATGAGAGTTGACCTTCGGTTCCACATTCCCAACGGAGCAAGTGGGCCCGGGGACTACTCTGGCGACAGGGACAAGGGCAGCTACTCTGTCGAAGAGATTGAACGGCTCATTGACGATTTGGAGGTGCCTCATCAGATTATGCGCGAGAGAAAGGGACCGGAAGACATGGAGATGGTATTCACCATTTTCTTCGCCACCAAGGACGCCGGAAAGGATAAAGAAAAGAAGGATACTGGGGAAGAGTCAGACGAAACGTCGTCTGGTACCAACGCCGAAGATGCAGCATTGCCGGAGAGGCCAAAGAGAATTACGAGGAGGCAAACGCTCATCGATGCCATCAACCGACCACCACGGCCGCCGAGGACGCCGTCAGTGTACCCTGACATTCCGGACATGTATGCCCAGATAGGTGAACCAGAGATGCCGCCGAGACGTCCCACGAGGCCATCCATGTATTCTCAGTTCGACAACGGGCAAGCATACGACGCCGGGGCCGACGCGCAGTATCGGCAGCAATACTGGGGTGCATCACCGCCTTACGGAAACGAGAAGGAAGGCATGAAAAGCGTAGACTTGAGACGATAAGGAATGAAGGAAGCAAAGCATTGAAGCGAAGCGAGCGAGTTGCTTACGGAAGCCGCTTGGGCATCCGTCTGATGTATGTTATTCACATATCATGACTACTTTCCACTGATGGCGGATTTTCACGCTGGAAGTGATTACTCATGATAAAGAAGATGAGTCAATAGTCGACAGTAGTGCCATTTCATTTCATTTCATTTAGCCCCTGGCTGGCCTCATCATGGGAATCATCTGTGACGATTGTCCGACTTCAGTCTTGGTCAAGAAGCCTGCTGATGAGTAAAGGTCCAAGATGTACTGCTCGGCATCGAGATACATTGGGTAGCCCAGCTTGTCGGCAATTTCCGTTCCTTGTTGGAGAAGGGCTTTCGCATAGCCCCGGCGAAGGTAGGCCGGGTCGGTGAAAATCAGCTCAAAGTCTGGCACATGGTCAGCGTTTTGCGGGTGGGCGGCCGGCAAGATTGTCAGCGGGAGGCTTGTTCGTGGTGAGCGAACCGGCCGGCCAGGGAGTCAAGAGTTGACATACAAACGTGAGGGTCCTTGCCCATGACACGGTCGTGCTGAGACGCCATGTCGGAGAAGAACTCATCAAGCAGCTCGTCTTTTTGCCCTGCATTAGCGGACGGCCATCGCTTTCGCCACGACCAGGTTCCGTTGTCCTCGGGGCGGATGATCCAGATAAGGGTGGTGGCTACAGGCTCGCCTTGAACGAGACAGCTGTCAGTCAAACA